CGCGAGTGAACAGTGTAATCTCATTTGGATATTACATAAGTATAGTTCAAGACCTCAACACACACACTTTAGTCACAGCATTTACTATAATGCAGGTAAGTTTTTATCAAACTCCTACTTTGCATTTCATTGATAAACTTTGTGCACATTTATAGTGATTAGGGGTCGTCCATAAATGACGTCACGCGATTTTGGACGATTTTTGACCCCCCCCATCGTCACACGGCGTCACAAAAAGTCAGCCCCCCCTCAAATATGACGTCACAAAGCTCTGCCCCCCCCCCCCCAAAAGAAATATAAAACATACTTCAAATCGCTTTAAACTATTGTCATTGTAGTGCGTATTTAATGTGCCGATGTACTCTGATGTTGTAGGAGAAAACATTAAAAAGTCTAATTAATTAAATAGAACGTGTTGTCTATATTTATTAAAAGTTGCGCATTTTTACGTGACGTCACATTTCTCAACCCCCCCCCCCCGTCACACATCGTCATAAATGTCTGACCCTCCCTAGGTGTGTGACATCATTTATGGATGGCCCCTTACATATTCACAGCCCATATGCATATTTGAGACCAACTCCTTTAAAGCTCCAGGTTACAAACTACTTATATTTGTAACTATATAAACCTTTCAAATGAGGCTTTCTCTACACTCCAGAAATCTTATTTGTCATCTGCTGAGGTAAACTATTATTACAACAAAATGAGTCGAGTATTCTTAGCCTGAACTTTTTGACTCCTTTTAAAATGTATATTTTTTGGGTTTCTTATTGCAAACAAACAAATGTAGGACAGTGGTCACAACCATTGGTGGCACCAAGCCAGTGGTGGAAATTCCACATTTCCATGGAGTGTACCAGCCTCTCAAAAATACAATCTTTGTAAACAACGGAGGACAGGCTGACAACCCGCAATCTGGATTTAAATTTACAAAAAATGTCAACAATTTAAGATCAATCTGGCCTAAAACTAGATATTGACATAATTACGAGTCAATACATAACACAGTAATAGTACTCTTAACCATTATAATCACAAGCAATGTTTATGTATTTATCTACCTACACCCACGCTGCACATCTGCTGTAAATCAATGGTCATTGGTTTATATAGACGCGGATTAAACCTTAGCAAGCAATTTCACATTAAACAGCATGGCCTCCTCCTATGCAGAAGCTGATGATTATAGGGTATGCAAATTGCCACACACGCACAGTACAAATATATGCCAACACACAAATACACAGACACGTACAAAGATCTCCTGTATAGCCTTTAACAGCCACATGCTGTTAGTGAGAAGCTACAAAGGCTGGCACAGCACGAGGGAGTGGTATGGCCTACGCCACGCCTGGTCCCCTTTGTCTCCCGACTGCTTATGTTCAAATACGGTACCAGGTCTTCATTGAAGGCTGAGTTGATGAAGGGAAGGCCCAGGACCGGTTCGATAATTCGCCACTGTTATTATCCACGAGCGGGACGCCACCACACACATACGTGCACATAAACAGAGCCTTAACAGACTGTTGGGGCAAGTGCTGTTAGCGAGCACCTATGAAGGTCAGCACAGCACACGAGGGGGTGGGTGGCCAACACTATGCCCGGCCGCCTTTGTCTCCCCAGTGGCGATGTTTACACACCGCACTAGGTACTCATTTTGAGAATGAGTCGACCTAGGGGAGGCCCAGGACCGGTTCATATAATCATCACTGGTGTTGGCCGTGAGCGGGATTCGAACTCGGGTCACCAGGTTCATAGCGCAGCGCGATAATCGCTACACTACTGCTCCCCACGCTACACTACCGCTTCCCTACGTGCACAAAGATACACAAATACACGTGCAAGTGTAATGACCATTTGAGATGCGTGCTCATCCCATGAATGACAGCACGTGTTGTTGTGGTACACGCCTGTAAGCCACTGCTTTGGAGGTGAGTTTTGTGGATTGTGCAGATTACATAATTTCTTCAGCCTTTCAAATTTTCAGGGTTACAAGGTAATCATTATGTGGCAGGAGAATAACTAGGATTTTGACCTGCGTTGAATTTTTTTAACAGTATTCCGTCACATGTCTGGGTTTTCTCTGGGATCTCCGATTTCCTCCAATAATCAAGAACACTTACTAAGGAATAAGCTTACACCCTCAGCAAAATTTCCCCAATGTTAAGGTGAAGTTTTCCCAGATAAAACTAAAGCACTACGAATACAAATCAACAGTCATTCTATTATAAGACGGGCCCCCGGCTCAGGGCTTCAAAAAGGAGATGGACCCCATAACAATCATTGTGGTCACCCAGAGCATAACGTGGAACAAATAACGACTCAATGCCCAATCACAAATATGAAGGATGGAGGTATCGTCACAGCGATTACACCACTTAATTTACCCCTGAAGCATTTATCTGGCTCAAGCACCTAAATGTTGTTGCTCTATATTAATATCAGCCATATAAAGAAGAATGAGCAGGGAGACCGTTTTATGGCTGATGGCGGATGAAGGCTGAGATTACAGTGTTGTAGCGATTTGATGTGGGATTAAATCGTAAATATATTAATTGTGAACATTTAGATGTAATTATTAGTTGTTTATGACGTGTAAGTGCCATTCAACTTAAGCAATTATGCATTCTTAGGCCTCCTTTGCCAGTACCAAAATATAATAATAGGGTTTTTCCCCTTTTTTTCTGGCAACAAAACTGAAACCTTTTTACAAGGATTCATGTCTGCATTAACCACAATACCTGCAGTCAAAATTCAAACAAAAAACATACTATGATAATATATGATGCATTGTCCTTGAAATTGATTGGTCCACAGTTTTATTATTATCAATTATGCATTATATACTGATATGCAAAGTCGCCGACATCGCGTTAACAGTCGTACTAGCTTGGAGAGGTTCGACTCTTAAGCCGATTCTCACTCGGTTCACAACGAGTTGCACTGCCTGCTGGTGATCAATTACAGTAATTAACCAATCAATACGTAATTCACGAAAATAACGACCTATCAACACATCACCTATTCCGTATAATCTAAATCATATTGCGTGATGCTGTAAATTATTAACGGTGTGAGTTTAGCTTGAATGTTGTGATATTTTCTAATCAGACTGAGAGATGTCAGCTCGCCTTCTTTGCACGGTGACTTATCGACTGTGCCTAAACACACAACAATGATCAATGATGAGCATCTACATCATTAGCCCTCCTTTGCAAGTACCAAAATGTAATAATAATAGGGTTTTTCCACTTTTTTTTCTGGCAACAAAACTGAAACCTTTTTACAAGGATTCATGTCTGCATTAACCACAATACCTGCAGTCAAAATGCAAACAAAAAACATACTATGATAATATATGATGCATTGTCCTTGAAACTGATTGGTCCACACCAAGGGACGGCTTTCTTTTGAGCCTCGACCCAATTGGTGCTCGACCAGATGACGCCAAAAGGCGTACAGCTCAAAGTTCAAAGCTGTACGCCTTTTTTGCATATATTATCATAGTATGTTTTTTTGTTTGCATTTTGACTGCAGGTATTGTGGTTAATGCAGACATGAATCCTTGTAAAAAAAGGTTTCAGTTTTGTTGCCAGAAAAAAGGGGGCAAACCCTATTATTATTAAATGATCGATGATCTTTGCAAAAGGACAACTGCTTTCTGGACTTCAACGGGTTTTGACAAAGACTAATGCAAACTTGGTCGAATGCGAGTTTGGCAATACGGTGCAGTGCAGAACATGCCAGTGTTCATTTGTAGCCATGCTGGTCTATACAAATTGTGCCCTTTATATGACGAAGTGATATTGGGACTGGAGGATTTTAGAGGTAGAATGCGTAAGATACTAGAGTCGAGCATATGGATCTGTGCTTGTCCGATGGAGAGAATGATGCCTGCCATATGAATGTGGATTTTTGTTTAATTCCCACTGGCTAAGAACTCTCAATTGGAGATAACCACTGCCCCGTGCTCATCTTAACGTGGAGATCATTTCACTTTCACCATTACGTGAACATAATACGGTAAAAAAACATAGCTACCATGTAACACATCTTCAATACTACTACAGTATGTAAATGGTGTAACAGTATTTTGGCAATTATGTGAGACCAAGTAATGATAATTACACCACCGCATGTCAATGCTATTTTACACCTTCCAAACCCCAATTTAGTTTCTATAAATACTATAGGAGGGAAAAACATGCACAAAAGCAACAGGTGGGTGTTCGTTGCTTGCTTTTGCCTGTTTCAGCTGATGACTTATATATGCTCATTCACACGGTGTGTCTTGAACACCTGCCAGCCTACACCCCCCCTAACCTATCAGCTCACTCATCAGATCAATAAGATACACTCACCTGTCTGACCATACTCGCTCACGCGTCACATCGCACAAACACACCTATCAAGACGACATACACACTCACCTATCTGCACGCAACATACGCACTCAACTGTAACACCACACACACATTCGCCTTTTAGAGCAAAGCTTATTTTTTTTTCTGTCGAACCACACAATCACTTGTCAGATCATACATCCCCATCACCTGTAAAACCACTCACACACACACCTGTTTGACCACACACGCACTTGCCTCGCACATCACACACTCGTTTGGTAAAGCACTTACTACTCACCTGTCTAAACACACAATTACCCCCCCCCCCCAAAGCACACGCGGTCATCTGTCAGAGTACACACTAACCATGCACACACACTCTTTGCTTCTATTGGGTAAAGTCACGTAGGTGAAAATAAAATAACAAAAAATCACGACGTTTCGGCCACAACACAAGCGGCACACACACACTCTCATTTCACAAACTACTCAGATCGCACAAACACATTCACCTAACTCACACATACACGCTTATCGTCTACAACACACACACAAAAAAACCACACACACTCACACCTCTGACCACACACTTACTTACCTGTCCGAGTACCCACTCACAGACACCACGAGGTACACCACACAATTGCTCACCTGCAGGTCACGGCTGCACACCCTGCAGAGGGATGCATGCACGCTGCTGCTCCTCCTCATCCTCGGGGAACAGGGCGAGCTATCCTTGCAAGCCTTGCTGCTGCTGCTGCTGTTGTAATCCCGTACACATTCGAGTCATCCGAGCAGATGGCAGGGTATCTTTAATACTGCGCGTTCTAATTTCAAAACGTCCGCGGTGCGAGAGAGGACAACAGGAGATAGACCTTCAGGCACAGACGCAGAGAGAATTACTCGCACGCAGACACGCGCAGATATACTGACAGGTTCACTCAACTACGCACACACACTTGCGAATACTGTCGATGAATTCGGAGCGAATGTACTAATCACCCGAGCAAGCGGATGGGCGGGTACCCTGCACATCGTTCCCGCGCGACGTCACGCAGACTCCACACAACACAGTCACACAGATGATGATGTGCACACAACAACAGATACAAAGGTGTAGCCTGTAACAGACTGTTGGGGGGTGAGTGCTGTTAGCGAGCGCCTAATAAGTGCGGCGCGACACACGGACGAGGGTGGTTGGGTGGGCGAGCACCACGCCCGACCGCCTTTGTCTCCCCGGTGGCGATGCTTACACATCGTCACCGGGGACTCATTTGAGGCCGAGTCGACCTAGGGGAGGAGGATCAGCGCTTGGTGTTGGCCGTGAGCGCGAATCGGACTCGGTGTGGACGGGAGGGTTTGTAGCTTAGTGCGCCAACCACTGCGCCACCGCTCCCCAACACGAATGAGGCTGTACACACGGTCACACAAACACACATTTACAGGACAATACGCAAACACGACACCAAAAAAACACACAGTATACATATATTGCAATATAGTTACATACACCGAGGAACGTACTTGCAAGCGCACATGTAATATCAACGTCTACACAAAACGCATGCATTCGCGCACTATATATAAAGCCTTGCATATACTGACACACTTCATGCAGACATGTGTCATGAACGATACATATACGATGTGATTGTTTACGGTGTACATAAAACACAGCTTAATACCATACACGCGTGTACCGTAACAACGTGTATATCGGATAAACATATATATACACACACACACACGGGTGTTACACAAATACACACACACACAATTGATGCACGGTACGTACTTCCAGACATGAATCTCACACACACGCACGCACGCGCAATACGCGCAGGGTAATGTACACGTTGCTCCACTCTCCGTGCCGGTGACTGCTACACCTGCGACACACGCCACCAAATAAGCAGGTGCAAGCAAGCGGCAACACGTCCCTATGTTCGGCGCGCATGTGGTGATGTTGGCACCGGAGTGGGGGTGTTGGTGGTGGTGGAGGGGGGTGGGGTTAGAGCTTACGCAGGAGCAGGAGCAGCAACAACACCAACCCAGCCCGGTTGACCTTACCCGAGCAGCTTCTGCTGTTGTTAATCCGCCACGGGCACGATGTGGCTCCGATTATTAGGGCTCTATCACGGCATGGGGGGCATTACCGGTGGGGGGTGGGTGGGGGAGAAGGCGTGGACTGAGACGGCGGTGATCGTGGTGGTGGTGGTGCAAGTGGAGGGGGTTGGCGGCGTTGTTGACCAGTGGGATGATGGGATGTTCAGTGTTTTATTGTATGTACATACACGTCTGTTGGACTTCTTTCGCACCGTACGTAGCCAGCCGTGCTAATCGGAGTGATCACGCAATCGAGCGCGATTTTTTTTAAAAAAAAAGTAATTCCATCACGGATCAATATATCAATTAATGGGGACCAGTTTCAACAGGCACATTTGGCACAAAATCAAACGTGGTTAAAATAGTATGCTTATTTTTACATAGTGTTCGGTGCAAATCTGAAATCGTCTAAAATAACGTTTTAAAATGTGTGTCCACTACGTACATGCGTTTTTAGCAGTCCGTATCTGTTGATCCCGAGCCGTTGTTGGAAATTCCACATTCCTATGAAGAGGACCATTCCATCCTGAGGATAACCACTCTTGTTTAATAAAACCACAATGACTCAAATAATCTTTTACGATCTTATCATTTATTAACTACAGTAAATGCAAACCTTTGAAATGTTAGAATCATGATCATTCATATAACAGTACTTGTCTCCATCCCTCTGGCAAATGTCATGGCACACGTGTTACAATGACATTTAAAAGCTAATTAAATGACTGCGAATACAAATATTAAACAATTTATACTTCAACCACCACGTCTTAAAGAGACGTATTTCAGAAAAAAAGGGCATGTCACTATGCCCAGTCTTGGGAGTCAGATGAATATTTGAAGCACACTACTTTAATGACAATTATTATATTTATCTGACCTGTTGGTTTAAAAAAGAAAAGTTCAAATAACACACGTGTTCACAGTGATACGTAACTATTAGTAGAAGCAGGATCTTGATGTTCTACACATATATCAAATAATTATGATTCGCGTTGGTGTTTTTGCATTAATTATGTATTTATTAAAGGTCCTATTCAACACATGTTCATGAGCAGACTTTTTGTACGATAACCCACCACCCAGGCAAAGACACTACAAAACACTGAAGATAGGCATAGAGAATACACAATATACACAATATCTACAAGAGAAACTTGCACCTCTCATCCAGTGAGCTGACGGTAGGGTTGGTGGATCTCGCAGACAGTACGTGTCCAAAGTACTCAGTCGTAATGGTAATGCGGTGCATGTAGGAGGCATTATAGCAATTACGTTGATTACCATAAAATATATATATTGGAAAAGGCAGAACCATTTTAGGCAAGATTTCACTTTGGGTTTTATTCACTGCACTTTAAATGAAGAAGTGTTCATACTGTACAGAATGCCATATTGGTGTGTACTGCAGTTATATTTGAGGGGAAAATTCCCTTGTTTTAGTTGAAGGGTATATAAAACTAGCTACTAGGTTCGTGGACAGATACTTGTATAACTCTATATTAACGTGCAACACAATCAGTGCTTTCTATGACAGGAGCCGGAGGGCATTACAGAAGCTTTGACTCAAAGTTAAGATGCCCCCTGCTGACCGCAAGCATTATAGGAAGTCACAAATAAAGTACTGTATGTGGCTTGGGTATGTGAACGGTCATGGTTGTGATGTCATTGCTTTCAATGTACGACACATTCACTTAATTTTATGGAACTGATATTTTTGTTGGGGCCATCATATCCAGTCAGGTGGAAGTGTTGCCAAAGCACGTAACCCACATTAATCGGTTAAGGGGCCCTCCATAAATGACGTCACGTACCGAGGGGGGGGGGGTCAGACATTTGTGATGATGTGTAACGAGGGGGGGGGGGGGGGTTTGAGAAATGTGACGTCACGTAAAAATGCGCAACTTTAAATAAATATAGACAACACGTTCTACTTAATTAAATTGACTTTTTAATACATGTTTTCTCCTACAACATCAGAGTGCAGCGTCACATTAAATACGCACTACAATGACAATAGTTTAAAGTGATTTGAAGCATGTGTTTATTTTGGGGGGGGGGGGGTCTGACTTTTTGTGACGTCGTGTGACGAGGGGGGGTGGAGTCAAAATCGTCCAAAATCGCGTCACGTCATTTATGGACGGCCCTTTATGAGTTCAAATCCCGTTTGGGGATAAATGGGGCCCCTCATCTCTTCGGGATCAATAAAAGAATCGCTTTGTGGGAAATAAATGCTAAACTGTAGGGGTTAAACTTACACTGCATGATTTCAATAAATATATTAAACATGGCAGACACTCATATTATTTGGGTCTTTCGGTAAAGTCACATACATAGGTTCAAAGAAAGTAAGAAAAAACTACGACGTCATCAGGGAAAGGTGGTTAGCTTCTAAAGGCAAACTGTTTATAAAGGTTTTGAAATGCGTGTAGCCCAAATGTCAGCAGGATGGGCGGGGCACCTTATGTTAATGTTAGTGGTGGGCAGTGACCGCGACGGTGGTTGGTTTTCCACCAATCAAAGGGCTGCCAGGTAAAAATTACCATATTAATGTGAGATCGGTGAGCAGCCTCCATGGCGAGCGCGTTGAGGTGGCTATGTTAATGTCAGAGATTAACATGTTAATGAGAGAGATTAGCATGTTAATGTCAGAGATTAGCATGTTAATGTGAGAGATTAGCATGTTAATGAGAGAGATTAGCATGTTAATGTGAGAGATTAGCATGTTAATGTGTGAGATTAGCATGTTAATGTGAGAGATCAGCATGTTAATGTGAGAGATTAGCATGTTAATGTGTGAGATTAGCATGTTAATGTGAGAGATTAGCATGTTAATGTGAGAGATTAGCATGTTGATGTAAGATCGGCGAGCAGCCTCCATGGCGAGCACGCTGAGGTGGCTATGTTAATGAGAGAGATTAGCACGTTAATGTGAGAGATTAGCACGTTAATGTGAGAGATTAGCATGTTAATGTGAGAGATTAGCATGTTAATGTGTGAGATTAGCATGTTAATGTGAGAGATTAGCATGTTAATGTGAGAGATTAACATGTTGATGTGAGAGATTACCATGTTGATGTAAGATCGGCGAGCAGCCTCCATGGCGAGCACGCTGAGGTGGCTATGTTAATGAGAGAGATTAGCACGTTAATATGAGAGATTAGCATGTTAATGGAAGATCGCAGAGTTGCCACCACCTCGAGGTCACAAGCGACGGTGGCTGTGTTAGTGTGAAAAATGTAACCTGTTAATGTAAAATCGGAGAGCTGAAAATAACAACTAACATCGGAAGGTGGTTGGATGGGGGACATCACAGCCAGTTATGACTTCAACTGGTTGTAATGTCCTTCCAATGATTGCTAAGTTTGTACCCATCTTCTCGGTTGAAATTGTGTCTGTGTCTATATATGGATGGGTTCATGAACGAATCTTTGTTGACAGCCAGTGGGTTTGCAAAGTACCTTCATCTTAGATAAATTAATTTAATGTGAGCCCACCGCATTAAAACAATGATCAGCCACGGCCGAGGTATTGGTCCTACCGTGTTTCAGATCTGCCTTATGTTCACAAACACGGTCCGAGACATGTCGCTGAGTTTCCCCAATGTAACTACTGCCGCAGACACAGATTAGTTTGAAAACGCCGGGGTATTGCATGTCAGGGATCACATTCTTCACAGATGGAATCAGATCACGAATTTTATGTACTGTGTGAAATCGAACCTGGATCTTGTGTTTGCTCATGATTTTGGAAATCTTTTTGGTGACCCCTATTATGTATGGCAAGGTGATGGTTTTGATTGGGTCCTCAGATGGTTCTTTCCCAACGGTTGGGGTGATAGTTTTACGGATTGTGTAGTCTGAATATCCATTCATCTTGAGAGCTTGGTGTACGTGTTCCAGTTCACTGGCTAGGTGATGATGGTCGGAAATACATCGAGCTCTATGATGTAGAGTTTTGATGAGGGAATTTTTCTGGGATGGATGGTGGAAGGAGTCAGGTTTTAGGTAGGCATCCGTATGGGTGGCTTCCCTGTAAACAGTGTGTCCCATTGAGCCATCTGGTCTCTTTTCGATTAAAACATCCAAGAATGGTAACTTGTCACCCTCTTCCACCTCCATGGTGAATTTGATGGCTGGGTGTATGGAATTCATGTGATTGAGGAATTGGTTCAGGGCTGGTCGGCCATGTGGCCAGATGACAAACGTGTCATCTACGTACCTCTTCCACAGGAACGGATATAGAGTGGATGCCTGGATGGCATCTGTCTCAAAATTTTCCATGAAAACATTGGCTACAACTGGAGATGAGGGAGAGCCCATTGGGGTATCTTCAACTTGTTTGTAGAATGTTCCATTCCAGGTGAAGTAAGTGTTGGTGAGGCGTCGTCTCACCAGGGCCAGTACATCAGCATGCAGTCCTTGTTGGTCCAAATTTGCAATAATTGCAATGTTGTCAGGCACAGGAACTTTGGTAAACAAAGAGATGACATCGAAACTAACGAGCAAATCACCTGGAGATAGTGAGATGTCCTTAATTAACGATACCAAGTGAGCTGAGTTAAGTACAGCTAATGTTGTCTTGCTAGTGAATGGTTGTAAGGTCTCAGACAGAAATCGGGCCAGTTTGTAGGTGGGTGAGTCAATGGTGGAGATGATGGGACGAAGGGGTGTACCTTCTTTATGGATTTTTGGTAAGCCATACAATCTGGGTGGTCTGGCGGCCGAGGGTTTTAAGGAAACCCGCTTGGTTGGTTCGGTTAAAGATGTCGAATCGGTGATATTGCTGGTTTTCGTTCCAAGGCTGTTGGTGGGATCTCTTTTAATTTTTGTTGAGCTACCATCATTAAGTAGGTCCTTAATTTTGTAATTGTATGTGGTTATGTCCATGATGACTGTGGCATTGCCCT